TCGTAACAATTTTCTTTTCAACTGTATACTGGTTCCTGATTGTGGCGCTACTAAGGTCGTTTCACGCGTTGGATTCAGAGGGCCATATTTTGTATGGGGTAAACAAAACATTGTTCCTGCTTGGGTTTTCACTCATACCGTCTCTTCCTAGGTACCCTGAACGGGTCTACACAAGCGCTAAGGAGCGATGGATATGCCGAGCCCGGAAAAGTCGCCCACTCTCCCTTGAGACTTGACTTACCTATAGGTATTCGTACTATAAGGTGAGTACCCATGCAAGCTGCCATGGACATTGTCGCCGATACGTAACAGTTGTGGCCGATTACATGCGGCCTCGCTCGATACCAGCAACTACATATGGAACTTCTCAAGTTGGGGAAGACCGTTCAGATTGACGTCTCCCAGATTGCGCGGACGTGATGGCCTACCTGTTCAAGTTGAATGTGGTTGGGCATTTTCCTCAGGTAAGAATCCATCAAATCCCTCATTCATTAAACTATTTGTGCTTTCCTGAATAGCATTATCTCGCTCTGGAGATATATATGTTTGGTGGCCAACAGAAGGGGCGATGGGCGCCGCAATCAGAGGGCACAATGAAGTCCTGGACGCTGATCGCGACAACCACGATGCTAACAAGGGTCTGGCTAATGATAACGGCGTAATTCAGTGCGCTTCCTGGGATCTGGACACTGATCCTGTCGTTCTACCTCCACTTCCCGCCTTGCCGCAGCTGAATACATCGGACGAGGATGATGAGACGACCAGGATTATTCAGATTGCGGCGTATGATTGCGCCCTTGTTGCTCTCACAAACAAGGGCCACGTCGTCAAGTTTGGGTCCCTCTCCAGCGATTCAACTGTTTCGGGTGGTGTTTGGGAATACGTCAGTATATCTTCCTGTTGATCAATCGTCTTCTGAAAGCTTCGTCACAGCTGCCTCAATTCTCTGAAGTGGACCATGTGCGGACCCATGAGGCGTTCAAATCTAGTGGCAACGTCGATCCGCCTCAAGCCTTGAAGATCACTCATGTCAGTGATTTACACTGATTATGATGTTTTGAACTCATCACTTGAACAATCAAGGTGTCTGCCCACTTCAAACACTTTATTGCGTATTCTACAGGCCCTTCGTCAGTGGTCTTGATTGGCGACATGCAGACAACCATAGAGACGCGACCTCGGGTCATTCCTGAGCTTCAGAATCGATCCGTGATCTCAGTCGTACTCGGTGATTATCACTATGCCGCGCTGACGGCAGATGGCAAGCTTCTTACATGGGGAGCCTATTCGAACGGGGCTTTAGGACTTGGAGATCCTACGCAGATTGAAATAGGCAATCCAGGCGCTTTTCATAACGAAGCAGCACGCCAGATGGCCATCTCTAGGGAACGGGGAACGCCTCCAGAGGTGCTAGTGCCGACTGAGGTTCGGTTTGATCACAAGAGGAAGACACCGAAGGACAGATTCTGTCTCTCAGCTACGGCGTCTGGATGGCACACCGGAGCACTCGTCATTGACCTCGAGGTGAGTTTACTTAATCAAGGTCGTTGATGATGGTACTAAGTCTCGCATAAGGCCAATCGAGATGAGGAAGAAAGTGAAGGAGATGGAGAAGCATTGGACGACGATGACCGTTCTCCTCCGGACATTGGTAACCTGCACCCGCACATGCCTCACAGATACCAGCCGTTGCCTGTGGATCCCAACATGGCTCCGTTTAGGGGCGGCCTCCCTCATTTTAGAATTGGTTTTGCTGGAAGAGGCATGAATCGCGGTGGTCTCATGGGTCGTGGTCGAGGAGGAGGTCCGGGGCCATCGGGCGACGCAGCCTAGGCTTATTCTTTTGGATTCTGAAGAACTGTATAGATTCAAAGCTGTATATTGTCTGTTGTTGTATGTAATTGTAGTCGTTCGGATGTTGTAACATGAAGTACTCTGTAACCCTAACCCCCGATTACGCTTTTCGTCCTCAACCTCCATCATCGGTGTCGTCGAGAGACTGCCTTTCGTGATTTCTTGGTCGGTGGTGCATCGGGAGGAGGAGAAGTGCGCCATTTATCTTGTCTACATTATCGGTAAGAGAATCGGATCATTGCCGTCGACTTTGCTACATAATCAGACAGCAGACTCAGACTCTTACTCTACTACGAGCTTTGTTGCATTGCCCAGTATAACTCTCAGGCCTTTCGACATATTCAACATTTTGGTATCCGAGATTTCCCTAAAATCTAATCTCTCTTCAAGTGGCAGGCGCAGTATGACCAGCAATACATTCGATGCTCCATACGCCATGGGGAGCCCTTCCAGCGCCTCGCAGACGCTTTATATGCCCATTGCCTCGCCTCCGACCCCAGCGCCATCTCCGGGACCGCACGCGACCAACCACATCCCTATGATCATGCCCAACGACCCTCTAGCCGGAACAGTACCACTCACCCTCAATCTCACCCAGAATCCGAACCTTCGACGCCAGTATCTCTCTGCTCTCCTTACGAGCTGTACGCCCGAGGAGCTGTTGTTTATTTCGACTACTATCGCACCCTTGCTCAAACGAGATTTCCTGTTTGGGTTGCCTCCGGAGCTCTCGCTGCATATCATCAGCTTTATTGACGATCCGAAGACGCTCGGCCGTGCTATGCAAGTAAGCAAGCACTGGCACAAGCTTGTGGGCGACGATTCTGTCTGGAAAAGAATGTCTCGCGTGTACGAGTTTGACAATGACGTCCCGGATGATTATGCGGGATGCGATGAAGGAGGGGGAAAGGGAAAGGGAAGGGCGGTCTCCATTCCTCGTGAAAGGCGCAGGCGATCCTCGACGGAGGACTATGGACCGTCTCTTGCACCCCCTTACGCCACATTTTCTCCTCAGCAATACTTTAAATTTCATCATACCATCAGTGCGTATTTTCACAGTCATTCTCATCCTGTTCGTTCATTTGCTGCTCAGTGATGAATTGGAGACATGGCGGCAGGCTGCTTCGCTCTCATCGCGTCCCTGCGTCAGCAATAATCCAGATATTTCTGTCATCACCTCAATATCTTTAGACAAGGACTGGGTCGTCGTTGGGCTTGCAAATTCCCGCATCCACGTTTTCAGTGCGAGTACTGGCGTCCTGGCGCGCACACTCGTTGGACATGAGCTTGGTGTCTGGGCCGTTTGCCTTGTTACATCGGGTGGTAAATGGGGAGGCCCGACACGCAAGCGCAGACGATCGCGCCAGTCGAGCGGAGATAGTTCAGGAGGTACAGCTTCAGCGCCTGACGATAGTATTCCACGTTTCGCCGATCTTGAAACTGAGGCTGAAGGCGGTCATATTCCAAGCATTTTCGGCGAGGCTGGGGACGACGATGAAGTGTTTGACGAAGACACCGAGGATTTCCAGTACGCTCGCCCAGGTAGGCCTAGTTATGTGACAGGTGCCTCCGAGGGATGGGGCCAACGTAACTCTCTCGTGGTTAGTGGCGGGTGTGATAAAGTATTGCGAGTTTGGGATGCCAGATCTGGGTGTGTCTTTTGTTCGTAAGATTTCGGCTGCAATGCTAAAATATAACAGATACTGTCTCTATATTCTACAAGGTCATACGTCGACTATTCGGTGTATCAAGGTACTCCACAACCGTCCAATCGCAGTCAGTGGATCGAGGGACACGACACTGCGGGTGTGGGACATTCAGAAGGGCAAAATGTTGAGGGTGCTTTCTGGACATCAGTCTAGTGTTCGGTGTCTTGATGTCTGCGGGAACAGAGTCGTTAGTGGAAGTTACGACACGACTTGTCGAGTGAGTCAAATCCTAAAATAAGCCAGATTGCTCTTTTGTGATTAAACTTTCTTAAGGTTTGGGATGTCGACACGGGAGAATGTCTGCACGTTTTAAGTGGCCATTTCCATCAGCTGTATTCGGTCGCCTTTGACGGCGTTCACATCGCGTCCGGTGGATTGGATACGACGGTACGATTATGGGACGCAGAAACTGGGTACGCATAGAGTCAGCCGTTTCATTGGTTTTGACTGACGTACGTCGCAGGGATTGTCTGGCGACCCTCAGCGGTCATACAGCCCTTGTATGCCAACTACAGTTGTCACCCACGATGCTAGCCACGGGGGGCTCCGACGGACGCGTCATTACTTTCTCTCTGACCCAGAAGCCATATCCCGTCCTTCACAGAATTGCGGCGCACGACTCATCCGTTACGTCTCTTCAATTTGATAGCCATTTTCTTGTCACCGGTGGGAATGATGGACGCGTGCGTTTGTTCGAGACCAAGACCGGGGCGTACATTAGAGAGCTCAGCGAGGCGAGTGAAAGCGTGTGGAAGGTTGCCTACAACTATGACACACTCGCTGTGATGTGTCGGCGCGCGGGGAAGACAGTCATGGAGATTTGGAGCTTAAAGCCCAAAGAAGATGCATGATGATGGGCGACTGTAGGTTACTATCTTTATTCTGCTATCTTCCATTTACGTTAGTTCGGTCAGGAGTTATAATAATGTGTGTACTTATACAGGCGCCTTTTCCGAAATTTGAGAATGAGTTAACAAATGAAAATGAATAAGCCTAAGTAAAATTGTGATCGTTGGGACGTGCAGCGAATTTATACATCAATATTTGATGAGGTGGATGCGCCATCCAAATTTACCCAGGTGAAAAAACCTGAGCACTCACAGCGTTAATTCTTCCAATACACATTGTGTACGCTAGGGGGCGCAGCAAACCTTGGGCTTATACATCGAGCTTACAGTGGTCGTTGACATGGCGCTCTGTTGCTGATATACGTGGACAGTGGCAGGAGAAAGGGTGGCACGCCGCCGCGCGACAGCATGTGCCGGTATCGAACCGACACTAACACTGTCGAAACAAGGCCTTTTGAGACTCGATATCGATACTGTTGATAGCCGCCCCAGAGGTATACTGCATCGCTAATGCACTGACCAGTATTTCAACATATACGTCACCATTGTGGCGCAAAGTAAATTCTGAAGCGCAAAAACAAAACGATCCGGGCCTGACCGGGAATTGAACCCGGGACCTCCTCGATGTGGCAAGCCCTAACAAGGAATCATACTACTAGACCATCAGGCCATGTGGCGTTTGTCCTCCTGCCGATACAATCACGCGGTGGTTGGACTTTACCACAAATCGAAAAGTAAGGTCGAAATACACTCAAATTCTACTTGAACCTAGTCAATATATTTCTCAATGGCATAGGAACTCGACTCTTCGGCGCGTCTTTATCCTGTCCGCGCCTCAGCGCATTCTCATCCATCGTAAACCTCGACTTCATCAGGGTAGAGCGGACCGACGACTTGGTAGCGTTCTCTTTACCCACCGGAACTCCCACCGCCGAACGCTCGAGCGAAAGTCGGCCACCCATCATCGGCGGACGCGTCTTCTGCGGCGAAGCAGGCGTCATACTATGCCTCGTCATCTTGGGCACAGGAATAGTCGGGCGTTGCTCCGCCGCACTTGTCTTCGTCGTCGTCGGAGATCGCGAACGCGCCGCAATAGTAGTGTGTCGCCTCTCCGAAGACGGAGGCATCGCACGCGGAGGTGACGCCAGTGCCGCATAGATAGGACCACCTTCCCCGGGCTTTCGTCTCCCAGCCGCACTTAGGAAAGCCGGAGGATGCTTGTTCGGAGACATGTTCTGGGGAGGGATGACGATGCATTTGGGAGCATAGGTGTGCCGAACAGGCGGTAAGCGCTTGCCGGAGGGGATCGCGGAACCCGTCGAACGGCGGGGTCCTTGAACGGGAACGGGCTGGGCGATATCTGCTTTGGTGTCCGTCTCCTTGTCATCCGAAGCAAATCGGACACTCTTGCAGCGTTTTAGGATCCCGCGTGGAGACTTCGGACTGCTTTGTGCTGGGCACGGCGGAAGTGGCGAGGAGGGAGGAAGATAGGAAGGATCAAGTGGCACTTTGGGAGACGCGGATAATGGCTTCTTTGGCTCAATAAAGACTTCTGAGAGAATTGGTGTAGAAACAAGGGTTTCGTCAAGCAGAGAATCGTCAAGAAGATTGGATACTGCAAAAGACGAACCGGGAGGTCCATCGGCGGATAGATGACCAGGGCTATCAGAGACAAAAGACTTGCTCAACTCGTTAGCAAAAGCCCATTCGTCTCCTGCAGCATGTCCAGAAGTCTGTGTACCTGAAATCATTGCCTGTTGGTAGGCAAAGAGATCGGCTGTAGCAGGCGTTTGGACTTGAAGAGACGCGCATCTGGATCTCAATGTTCCGATCATGTCTTGAAGGTTCATCGGGGATAGTTCAATGTTGGCAGTGGGATCAATTGGGGAATAGACTGAAGAATTGCCCATAAAGGCGGTGGGAATATCTGGATAGACAATGTCCTTGAGTTTGGAATGGCCAAGTGCCAGTGGTGGTAGTGATCGCTGCCTTCTAGACGCTAAAGACGTTGAATGGACACTGGTTTCAAGAGTTGTGGTCGAGTCGAGGGATAGAGGTATAGTGAACTGAGAATTTGAGATCATGAGGGCTGGGGGTTGAACGTTTTCTTCGTCCTCTTCGGGTATCGTCTCGATAGGAGTGTTTGATTCTGAGAAATAGGTGTTCAATTCGCGTAGCTGGAGCATTATGTCGACAATTTCGGGGTTCATAGTAGTGGCAGGAACCTGGATGGACCAGCGTTTTGCCTTTCCATCGGCTCTGACAGTGATTTCGCGCTCAAAGACAAGGTCGGAAGTGTGATGACTGGTTTGAGAACGTAGTAGAGACTCTGGAAGTTGTCCTGAAAGTTCAGAGAGGTCGACAGTTCCTCGAGTAGAGTATAGCGACGTCTTGAAATCATCTGGAGAATAGAGCGAGCCCTCGGGAATCCAAACAGCGCCTTCATCAATATCCAGATCGCCCCACGGCGTGTGTCCAGGCGCGTTTGCTTCGAGAATAAGACTTTCCTGTGCAACTGCTCAGGTAGAGAGCAAATTCGGAAAGAGAAACGCGTACCGTCCATCGCTTTACAGATGGATTTTCTTTGAGCATAGTACGAAGCCTTGGAGGGGTCGGGACAGTGATAGTCGCGCGCAGATCGCCCGCCTGGCCCTCTTTGACACTGACAATGCTAGATATTGGGACCATACAGCCATGGGGAAAAGGCGGGATACTTCCGTCCGCGGAGAGGGTAGATATGGAGTCGAATGAAGGGGATTCTGCGAAAAGACTAGTATCATTGAGATGTGCAAAGGATTGGTCGAGGTCTAGCGAGCTGGAAGTGACAGATGAGTGAATAGACGGGCTGTCTATGCATGGAGACGGAGGAATAGTCATTGTTGCCTGCGACATGCAAGTACGCCTTCAAAGTCGTACCGGCCCGGGGTACTGATCATCTGAACCAAGAACGACGATCACCGCGAATCTGGCAGTGTATTGCAGCACACGTCTTATCAGCAGTCTAGCGTGTGTGCTCTCTTCTTGTACCACGTGCAACTCCTTCAAGTCGCATGTTGCGAGCTAGCCAAGATGTATCAGTATATGCGGTAGAATGTGCAAAACGATTCTCCTCTCTCATCTGAGCGTGCTTCACTATGCAACAACGTAATCGTTGCCTTCTCTTCACACGTGGCGCATCATGTATAAAACATAGAATCTCCGCCCTCTTTCCTGTATCGTCCCCACAATGCGCTTTGAGTTCGCATCCCTCACTCTCCTGGCCAGTTTACTCGTCGCTCATGCCGTGCCTATCGCCCATGACGAGATCGTCTCCAAGACCGCGGACGGCCTCCATCTCCTGAGTCTCGCAGAAGATGAGGATCCGGTCTGGAAGACTGAAGACGAGAAACTCGAGCTCCTCCGACAAGGCGTCCAGTTTGTACGTTTCCCCATTCGTTTTCCTTGCATATCGCGCTCTAATTTACATATACAAGTTCGACGTGACCTATACGTACGAAGTAGAACAAGAGTTGCCCAACAGGGAGAGACTCGCTGCGACCGCGTGCAAGTCATCTTTCACGTCAATCTCTGGTATGCTTAACAATATTCCTTACAGTCCCGTCTCCATCGCACCAGACGGCCGTTAATGCCATTCTGGACACACTTTCTATCTCGAACATGCAAACCTACCTTTCGGGCCTGACCGCCTTTAACAACCGGTACTACACCACCACCACGGGAGCACAAGCAAGTGACTACATCCTCAACACTGTGTCTGATGTGAGTTACCTCCTTCCGACCTTCTTCACCCCATCCCCCTGAAACGCGTCCTTCAGATCATCAGTGGCCGTTCGGATATGAGTGTATCCCTTTACAAGCACAGCTGGGCACAATCAAGCATTATCCTCAAAATCGCCGGTTCTGCTGCTTCCACGCCAGTTACCATTATCGGTGCTCACATGGATTCTATCAACCTAAACAACCCTACGAGTGGTCGCGCGCCAGGTGCTGATGATGATGGTACTGGAACCGTCAACCTCCTTGAGGCTCTCCGGGCCCTCGTTGCTGCCGACTACAAGCCTGCTAAGCCCGTCGAATTCCATTGGTATTCTGGCGAAGAGGCCGGTCTCCTAGGGTCTCAAGCCATCGCCACTGCCTACTCCCGCGATGGTGTTGACGTCTACGCCTTTATGGAGATGGATATGTCCGGATAGTATGTCGTTCCTTTGGCCCTTTGGCGCCTACTGATTGTGTATCACCATCAGTTTTGCCCCGGGAACTGAAGAAGTCTTCGCCCTCGAAGCCGACTACATTGATTCGGGATTAAACGCCTTCCTTGGACAACTCATCGATGAATACGCCGCCTTTGGATGGACGATGGATATTCCTGTAAGCATTTTTGTCTTTGACATTACCGAGATCTGATTCAAGTATAGTGTGGATACGCTTGCTCTGACCATGCCAGCTGGTACAAGGTCGGATATCCCACAACCTTCCCCTATGAGGCAGTCACTGGCGATGACGATCCGTACATCCACAGCGCCAGTGATACCACGAGTGTGAACGGATTCTCCTGGACGCATTCATTGGAGTTTGCGAAGATTGTGGCTGCGTTCGCATACGAACTGGCGCCACCCGCGTAGATTCGAGGTTGCTATATCGGGATTTCGAAGAATAACAAGCATTGTCATAGGATTCGGGTGAATGAGCCGCAGTATGACATTCCACAAGCGCCGGTTATACGTGCATTCAATCATCGCTAATATTAAATCGATGCCCTGGACCTGTGGAGATCATACCGGAAGTGTCGAAAGCCTTGGTCGTCGGTGAATTATTCTGAGGTCGTAGTTTGAGTTGCCGCGGTCAGGGTTGATATCGGCTAACGGCGCGACATCCGATTCTTCTGCTTAGTTTTTTTTTCTTCCCTCCTCCATCCACGAAGCTTCGACGTTTTATCCATCCGGCCTTATTGAGTTTCCTGGAGACGTTCCTGTGAGTATTGTCTCTGCCGGCTTATCTCTCTGTTTTTATGATGAACCAATCTATTTTACATTTGCACGTCAGTCTGAGCACGGTTCGCTGTGCGCTCGATGTCAACTTCGCTTTCTGAACTATCTACCTCCCTTTGTTGTTCTGTATGCTAATACTATTTCTAGATCTTCCGTAATTGCAGGCAAGTCTCTTGTATTATGTCGTACGGACTGTGTATCTTTCCTTCAATTGTATTACTTGTCTCCAATTTATTTCTTGTCAAGTGCGCGAAATGACAGTGGTAAATTTACAGCGGTCTATTGGCCACGATCTGTTGCTGGTGAGTTGACCTCGGACAGCGATGGGGTCTCAGTCGAGTCCTTGTCATGAATCGGCATCAGCTCATGTGTTCTCTTTCCAGCACATTCATCGGGAATGAGCGCCAACCGTAGTCCTACAGCGCCGGCGACGAATGGCTCGTCGTCGCGACCTGGCCTGATACCGACGAACAGTGTCACTGCGGGAGACGTCACCGTCCGCGCGAGGATCGACCCGACGCTGACCGTCGCTGATGTCGTCAAACAGCTCTGCGTCAACCTCAAGATCAAAGGCCCACCTGTCGACTACGCGCTGCGCGACGAGACCGACGAGCTCGTCACCAACGATAATTTGAGAAAGAAGATTAAGACAAAGGTTAACTTGAAGTGCGTCGTGTCTTTC